GTCCACGCGGGGCGCAGCTGAGACTACGGGCGGGGTACCGCCTCTCTACACTTCAGCAACGGTTAGCTGCGACCCTGGATGTACCACCACACCCCCCATGGACGCGTCGGCCTTCGAGGTGGCCGCGCTGCCCTCAGCGAGTCAGTCCACTGGCTGCAGACAGCCCGACCTGGGCCAGTCCAGTAGTGGACGAAAAGATCGACCGTTCGGTACTACCTTCCGCTCAGCGGCGGTTTATGCGACCATGGATGCCCCTCGGGGAATGGCGGCCGTGCCCCCTGGCCAGGTGCACCTGGGATCCGTGCGGTGCGCGGTGATGTCTGTCCCCACCGCCCCTCCCCTCGGGTCTCCCCCAGGCTGCGCTGCCGCCAAGCTCGAGTCCTGGTCTCGGGGTCGAGCGTCCCCACTCCCCAGGGCTGCCCTGGACCCCTGCTGATTGCGGTAACTTCACCTCTCCTGCAGCGGCGGTTAGCTGCGACCCTGGACGCCCCCGGGGATGACGGGTTCGAAGGACCCCCGCTGATAGCGGTAACAGCATCTCACCTTCAGCGGCGGTTAGCTGCGACCCTGGATGCCCGCGCGCGAGGAATGACGGATTCGACGGAGACTCTGGAGTGCAGGGGTGACCGCCCTCAGTGCAGCCCCTCCCTGGATCCCCCTGCCTCGCTGGCGATGCTCACCACGCCAGCCTGGCTTTCTCCTACAGTCCATTTGGCGTCGGCTCGGTGCCGTTGTTGGAGGGGCCGGCCCATTGACGTCCGGGCCTCCTTTCGACTAGACGTAAGAGTGACTTTTCGCCGGAGTGACCTTTGGCGCGGGCCAAATGGGGTCCCCCGATCGCCGCGCCCGTTGCGATATTTGCGTTTTGCGCGCTTGTGTTTGGCCTCCTCGCGCCCCCAAAAAGCCGCGCACCAAAGGTCACTTTTACCCAGGGTCACTCTTACGTGCAGCCGATCCTTCGGGCACGGGACGATGGCCCCTTGGGTATTGTGGTCGCGCCAGAGTGGTTTGGTCTCCTGCAGTCTCAACAGCACCCTCGCTTCATCCCCCTCTTCAGGCAGGTTTGCGACGTCCCTCGGCAGCTCAGCTCCCCTAGCCCGCACACGCCGTTGGGACGGCCCTGGGCCTGGCGCCCCACTGGCGACTCGCCCATCGGTCTTCGCACCTGTACGCCCACCCAGCATCGTGGACACGTCGACACCTCCGTGCACATCCCCGCGTCGTCTGTGTGGGTTATGCCTCACGGCATGCACCGGATTTTTCTGCATTTTGTCAGACCGCACGTGCCTGAGGTTCCCTGGATGCCCCCAGCTGTCAGCCTCCGCACAGCCCCGCTGCTGCTTGGTGAGTGGGCTGGCCGGCTTGCGGCGCGTTTTGTAGCTAATTAGGTTTGCCCGTTGGCCCGGACAACTTCTCTCGCCGTTTGCGCGTTCGCTGGTGGCCGCGACCAAGCGAAAATACCCCCACCTGCCCATCCAGAAACGATGCCCATGAGAGCTGACGGGGAGAGGGAGGAAGAGACACGCATAGTCAAACAGCGAGGGAGGCCGGCCTGGACGGCGTGTTGGGGCCATCTCCGGGCCCGCGTGGGGGGGGGCGAAGAGGACAAGGATTTTGAGGAGGAGCAGGAGAATGAGGAGAAGGGAGGAGGCACGAGGAGCAAGACGAGGACAAGAAGGACGAGGATGAGGAATGACGAGGACAAAGAGACTGAGGAGGAGGAGGAGAAGGAGGAGGAGGAGGAGGTGGCATCTTGAGGCTTCGGAAGGCCATTGAAAGTGTAAAGGCGAGAAGGCCAAAGTCATGGATGTTCTGCCGGTGTTTGAAGGATGTTGGCCTCTTGGCGGCTTCCTGGGGAGGCTCCGTGGCCATCTTAAGCCGTCTTGGAGCGGTCTTGGAGCCTCTTGGGGCATCTCGGGACCATCTTGAGCCAGCTTGGACTATCTTGAGCCATCTTGGAGCTCATCTTGGCCTCTCTGAGGCCGCTTGGGGGCCACTCGGGGGCCTCTTGGGGACTTTTCGAGGGCCACTTGGAGCCCTCTTTGGGCCTCTTGGGGCGCTCGTGGGACCCTCTTTGGGGCACTTCGTGGGAGCCCTGGAGGGCCTCTTGGGGCCATCTCGGAGGCGGTGGGTCAAAAGGGGGGGTACTCAATGTTCGTCGCCCCTTCGGGGGCCACGATTCTTTTGAGGGTTGTCAAGAATTGGTCCTCCCAGGTGCCGAAAAAAGGACCCTCTGACACCTCGCGGCCCCTCCCCAAAAAACCTCAGGAAGGGGAGGGGGAGGGTTCCCCCCCCCCCGAAGGGAAGAGGCTGTGGAAAGAGACCCTCCTTAGACCACCTGTCGCCCAAAGGGCTGGTGGGATTAGGGTCCACCGAGGTCAAACTTGGCCCCAAAACAACACAGCATCGACGATTGTTGTCTTTTGCCGAGGCCGTCTTAAGTGGAGTCTCCGATCGGCTGCAGACCCAGGGGTAAACCCCTCCTCCAGGAAAGAGAGAGAGAGAGGGAGAAGATAGAAGAGGAAACTCTCTACATGAACGCCCTGAAGGGCTGGTGGGATTAAAGAGTAAGCTGAGATACGCTGTGTCTTGGCTGAGCTTAGCCTACGCCGGAACCAAGTATAGCGGAAGTCTACAGCTGATGTTGAAGGCCCAGCGAAGGTAGCATGGGATACGTGTATCCAGGCTATTGTTGGCGATTGCCGACCAAGCCAGGCCAGTGGAGGGGAAGCGTTGGGCGCACGTAGCCAAGATTATGCGTTCTCATATGTTTTCTAATCGGCCCTGTCAGCTTGGGGTATTGCAGCCTTACATTCCCAATCGTCGAGTGTGTTCGTCCTGTTCGTACGCTTTGCCGGGGTCTCCGCGGATAAAAGGATTATGTAAGGAGCAGACGAGGACGAATATACAAAGGAAGAGAAGAGGGTAAGCTAAGAGGGTCGGTGTGGGTGAGGAGCAGACGCGGAGGATGGACGAGGAGGATGATAAGGATGAGAGGAGCAGGAGGTGAGTGAACGAAAGCGGAAGGAGGAGGAGGAAGAGGAGGAGGAAGAGGAGGAGGAGGAGGAGGAGGAGGAGGAGAGGAGGAGAAGGACCAGAGTGAACCCAGGCTGCATCAACGATGCTGCAGCGCACCCTCCCGTCCGCGCCCTGCTGTACGGAATCTTCTGTTCCACTTCTGGAAGTGCCCCGCTGAATGACGAGGGCGCAGTGGGCATGCCGATCAGGCGAGACCCCTTCTGTGAATGATCCATCTTGCATACTTCTCGCTAACAGGAAAACCAAGGGGTACGATGATACCATTCAAGGAGTGTCCAGCAATAGCCGCATCTTCAAAACGAACTGGGCTCCCATCCTTGTGTTTGTTATGTGCGCGGCGTGATGGCGACAACAGCATTTTGAAAATGATCGGCTCTCCATCCTTGGAGTGCATCCGCATTTTGAACACAGGCCTTCCACCCTTGTAGCTGTCGAAAGCTGTTACCTCAAAGCTCGCCGCGCTAGGGCGAGAGCCGCATTTCGAAATTGACCCGCCCTCCATCGTCGTAGTGGCCGGAGCGTTTTAGCTTCAGGATCGCCAATGTTTCAGATGTAAGGAAGTCTTGAGCGAAACGCCCAGCCTACGGACGCGTGTGGTGGTGCGCCAGGTGAGAGTCATTGTATGGATGAGCGGCGGAGGAGAAGAAGGGGAGAAGGACAAGGGATCAGGGGGCCGAATGTGTATCAGAAGCGGCTTCGTAAAACAACGGGGGTGGAAGTGCATAGCTGTTCAGTTGGGAAGGTGCCCTTGTTGAGGCGATTGTTGGTTGCTTCATCCAAATCTGAGGGTTGTTCTTACGCTGTAAAGCGGACGAACAAAACACGCTCCAGAAAGAGGTTGCCCCGCGTGGCCTCGCGCTTTTAAACAAACGCCTGCTTTGACACATCCTGCGCTTCCCACAGGGAGGGGTCACGCAGGGATGAGATTTTGATAGAGACCGTTGCCGGCAAGCTTCCGGGACGGGCCCAGGATTTGCAGACAGGAATGTGAACGGGAAACCCGAGACTTCGGGTGGCCTAGCTCGGCCCGAACATTCAAACCCTGGCGGCGGACCCCACTCTCAAACTTGGGCGCGGTCTAGTGGGGGATGACAGAGCGGGGGGGGGGGGGAGGCGCGAGCGCTGCAGAAAGAGGGCCCCTCAGAGCCCCCTCGGGCCCCAGAAGAGGGGGCCTTTCCGGGCCCGAGAAGGGCACCTGTCCCCCCCCCCCCCCATGTACTCAGCGGGCGACGAACGGTATATCATAAACTTTTTCGCTGTCGGGGGCGCCTGTCCCTGGGCGGCTGGAAAGTTTATACCCCTACGGTGCCACCGTAGGGGTATGAATTTTCCAGCCGCCCAGGGACAGGCGCCCCCGACAGCGAAAAAGTTTATTTTATACCGTTCTTCGCCCGCTAATGCACAGTCGGGGCCCTGAAGAAGGAACCCTTTTCGTTTGGAAGGGGCTCCGTGTTTCTTAGTTGTTTTACAGCGCTCCTTGGGTTTTCCCCAGGTTTTCCATGGGAAATCGGAGTTTAACTTATGGGAAGAAGGGGCCTCGTGCCTTATTTATCGTTCCTTAGGTCAACGCCCCGACCGTATCGCCCCCCCATTAACTCGCGCCCAACGAACTCTGCCTCAAGGCGGCAGACCCTTTCCGATGGGACGAGGATCGGCGGCGAGCGAGGGGGGCAAGTGAGGTGCGGCGGGCCCTTCTCAGAAGGCCCAGCCTTCTGGTAAATGTTCCGAAGTTTGCCCGAGGACGCAGCAAAACTCTCAGAAGTCCCGCCGCCTTCACCATCTCCTTCCGACTTCCCCCCTCTCTCGCCGCCGAGAGGAGGAGGAGGAGGAGGAGGAGGCGGAGGAGGAGGAGGCGGAGGAGGAGGAGGAGGAGGAGGAGGAGGAGGAGGAGGAGGAGGAGGAGGAGGAGGAGGAGGGGCGACAGGGCGGCGGCGGCGGCGGCGGCGGCGCGGCGGGCGCAGGGACCTCGTGGCCGACCTGGCCAGGGGCCCGCTGTACGCGAGCTCGGGCCCGTGGCGGGGCCTCCGGGGGCGGCGGGCGGCGGCCGGGGCCCCACGGGAGGAGGGCCCGCGTCGTGCGCCTGCGCGGACGACATGGGCACGGAAAGAATGGGTACTCCTCCTCCTCCTCCTCGTCCTCCTCCTCTTCTTCCTCCTCTTCTTCCTCTCCTCCTCCTCCTCCTCCTCCTCCTCCTCCTCCCCCTCCTCCTCCTCGTCCTCCCCCTCCTCCTCCTCGTCCTCCCCTCCTCCTCCTCGTCCTCCCCTCCTCCTCCTCGTCCTCCCCCTCCTCCTCCTCGTCCTCCTCCTCCTCCTCCTCTTCCTCCTCGTCCTCCTCCTCCTCCTCGTCCTCCTCCTCTTCTTCCTCTTTTTCCTCCTCTTCTTCCTCCTCTTCTTCCTCCTACTCGGAAGCACGCTCGTGCCCGGTCGTCTGTCCATCAGGTTGCCGACTCGCGTCCGCCAGTGGTGGCTGCTCGATCGTTCCGCCCCGAATCTCCTGGTCCACGAGGCGCGTGATGAGCAGGAGGGTACTCCAGATTTCGTAATAAAAGGGAGGGGGTCTGGACCCTCCAAGACAAGCCATTTCAGACCTCCCCCGTGGGAGAACCCTCCAAAACATCGTCCCCAGGCCCCCCAGGCCCTCCAAGATAGCCTGGAAGAGACCCCCCCCCCCCGAAATGAGACCCCCCTCCCTTGATTGCGAAGTCTGGAGTACAATGCCCAACAGCCGATCCTGTTCATTCTGAACAGGACTCGCTGTCCACGCCGCCGCGGCCTGGGTCCACTCGAGGCAGAAGGCCGCCTGCCCAGCGGCGGCCGCTGTTGGTTTGGGACGACATTTGTTGTGGGGCATTGTACCCATTTTTTTCCGTACCCATCGCGGGCGTAAAAATTTGCGACCCATGTTTCCTGCAGTTCTGTGGCAACGTGGCCCTCGGAAGGGTCTTGTGTCCTCTCGCGTGTCCTCTCCAATCAAGGCCGGCTGTAGGTGTTGTTGGATTCCCAGATCCAAATCCATTTCAAGCGATTTCCTGCTTCAAGGTTCAATATGCTTTTGCTGTGTTCTGTTCTTCTCTGGGAGGGCCTGAGCCCAATCTACCTCATCCGCCTTCCGACTTCATGCTTTTTACCCATTTCTTCCGACCGACGTGTAAGAGAGAGGGAGCGGCGGGGTCGTCGGCAGTCTGCGAGTTTCTGCAGAAACCCGCCGCAGGCGGTGATGTTTTGGCACACTGCGCAGCGAGCTCGCCGCAGGCCCGGAATGTTTGTTGAAGCCATGTGGGTGGGTGGCGGATGGGTCGCGGGGTTGGGTCGTGGAGTGGGTCGTGGGGTTGGTCGCAGACGAGTCGCGAGCGAGGACGACAACAAAAACAACACCACCAACAACAATAGCAGCAGCAGCAGCAACGACAACAGCGGCAACAACAACAATCATGTTAAGACTGTTCGCTTTTACTGGCACGCGTGTCTTGCATCCCGTATACCCCAACCTTCGATACCCGCCAACTTCGTCTTCGATTGCACCCCCTTTCGCGACGAGTACCTTCCTTGTCGGCCACCGACTGACGTGCGAAGAAGTCTCGAGCGAGAGCGCCGTTCCTGAGTTCGGGGGCCTTTCTGGCCAGGGGCTCTCGGAATACCAATGGAGAAGTATCGAACGGGAGCCTTTGTCGCCGTGTCCGGGCTTCCACGGACTTGCCTGAATTACTGGAAAGTCTCGAGCGAGAGCGCCGTTCCTGAGTTCGGGGGCCTTCTGTGCCAGGGGCTCTCGGAGTAAATCGTGAGGAAGTATCGAGCAGGAGCCCTTGTCGTCGTGGCTGGGCCTCCGCCAACTTGAGTGAATTGCAATGAGGTCTCGAGCGAGAGCGCCGTTCCTGAGTTCGGGGGCCTCTCTGGCCAGGGTGTCTCGGGGTAAATTGTGAGGAAGTATCGAGCGGGAGCCGTTGTTGTCGTAGCTGGGCCTCCAAGGGCCCACATTTAGGCTTAAGCCAACGCTCCAGCGGGCGCCTCGTTTGAAGGGAAACTGTAGCCGGCGTCGAGGCGAGAGCGCGCGGAATCGTTTCCGGAGATCCACGGCAATTCTTCTTCAGAGCGGAGTATTCAACAGCAGTAACAACAGCGGCAGAGCGTACACTCCGGCCCGGGCACGGGGCCGCACGTGCAACGGTCACTTTCCGGTGGAGTAGCGCACGCTCCGGCCCCGCAGGTTGCGTGTTGGCGCTCACGCTCGTGTGACGACGACTCCTCCAGCCCTGCGGGGGGCCCCCTGCGGCGGCGACGCGCCACGGGGGACGAGCGCACGCTCCGGCCCCGCGTCTCACGTGATTCGAGCGGTGGCTTCCGCAGAAGCCGTTCCCTGGTGCTTCCGCCTCCTCCAGCCCCGTGCCTGGGCTCCTGCGGAATCTTCAGAGATCCTGAAGAATCCTTTGGGGTATACTGGTGATCATCTGGGGTCCTGAAGAATCTTTCGGAGTCCCGCGGGATCCCCAGCAATCCCGTGGAGTCCAGGGGTATCCCCAGGAGCCTCTTGGAGTCCTGAAGAATCCTCTGGAATCATTTGGAACACTTGCTGGAATCTTCAGGAATCCTCAGGGATCTTCAGGGGTCCTCCGGAATTTCTTGACGCTTCGCTTATCCCCACCAGCCCATCCACAAACGATGCCCAGGCGAGTTGCCTTAATCAGGGAATCTCCATGAGCATGCAGTGCATCAAGGACTTGGGAAGCCGTCAAACTGAAGTCTTGGATTAGCCTGCGCAGACCCAGAAGCGAACCGTATGCGGTTTCGCGGGCCTGCCGAAAAAGGAAAGGCGGGGAAGAAGGACAAGGGGGATGAGGGAGGAGGAGGAGGAGGTGGAGGAGGAGGTGGAGGAGGAGGAGGAGGAGGAGGTGGGGGAGAAATGGGCGGATGAAGAGGAGGAGGAGGAGGAAGGAGGAGGAGGACAGTGGCGAGCTTGGGGGTTTCTTGGGGCGTCTTGGGGGCCTCTTGGCGGTCCAGGGAGCCTCTTGCGCTCCTCGGGGAGACTCTTGGGGCCTCTTGGAGGTCTCTTTGGAGCCTCTTGGAGGCCTCTTGGGCGCATCTTGGGGCCTCTTTGGCGCCTCTTTGGGCCCTCTTGGGGCGCTCTTGTGAGGCTTGGGAACGCTCTTGGAGCCATCTTGGAGGACGTCGATGAAAGAAGAGAGGAGCTCCAATTAGCTTTGCCAATCTAGAGTGTCTAGAATCGTCTCTTGGACCCCTCTTGGAGCGCTCTTGGGTCCCTCTTGGGCGCTCTTGGGGCCGTCGTGGGGCTCTCGGGCCTCGTGTGGGGCTCTCTGGAGCTCTCTTGGAGCTGCCTTGGAGACCTTAGGAGGCCGAGAAGGCACGACTCGTTGATTCTCCTTGAGGTTTTTGAAGGGTTCGGGCCTCTTGGCGGCCTCCATGAGAGGCTCCGTGGCCACTCGGAAGCGTCTTGGAACGGTCTCGGGGCCTCTGGGAGCATTTTGGGAGCCATCTTGAGGCATCTTGGGCTGTCTGGTGCCATCTTGGATGTCGTCTTGAGCTCTCTGAGACCCGCTTGGAGCCATCTTGGGCCATCTTAGATGCTCTGACCGCTCGCGGGGACAGCTTTGGATGGACAGCTACTGTGAACCAAAACCGACCCCATGTGCGCGACGCTGGGACCTGAGCGTGCCAGGCACGTCTGGTGCACCAGATGCGCCACGTGTTCCGCGTGCGCCAGGTGTGCTGCATACTCCAGCCGCGGCAGGTGCGCCGCGTTTGGGGCACGTGCAGAGAGTGTCAGGTGCGCCTGCGAACGTGGCAGCACACATCGGGAAACACGTCGACCCCCACCATCCTTGTCGAAAACCAATGCCCATCATTGTGTCTGGTGGGCCTGCGCACAGCAGGCCATACGCCACCACCCCCGCCCTCCCTGTCAAAAACCACTTGACAGTGATCTTGGGGTGGCCGTGCATGATCCAGATTTAGCCGCGAGGTACATGTCGTGCTATGTTTCGTAAGGGATGGTAGCCCTGCGCACAGCAGGGAATATGCTGACACCCCCGCCGTCCCTGTCAAAGCCAATACAAAATGCTCGCGGGCCTCACGAACATGACTCAAGACTTTGCCCCGAATTGTGTTTTGTACAGTTTTTGGCTGGGGATGGTGGCGGGGGGCCGCATCGGGTTGGCCGCGCATGCTCCAAATGTGGAGGCAGAGTGCGTTTTGCATTGTTCTTTTAACAGGGATGGTGGGGGGGGCCCGCGTGGGGTTGGCATGGTTCCGGGTTGGCCGCCGGCCAGGTGGAGGAGGGAATGTATATTAATAGGGAACAGTGACAAACCCCTCCCCGAAGGGGAAGAAGGGGGTTGGAAGAGGAGCTTCTCTAGACCACCTTCGCTCAGAGGGCTGGTGGGATTTCATGGGTTCTGAAGAATCCTTCGGAGTCCTGAGGCATCGTCTGGAATCCTCAGGAGTCCGGAGAAAACCTCAGGACTCTGGAATCCTGAGGGATCCTATAAGTTTTATGAGGGATCCTCGGGGATTCTGAGGAGTCCTCGGGGATCATGGGAATCATGGGGGACCCTGAGGAATCCTGGAGGGTCCTGACGAAGCCTGCTGAATCCGAAAGGATCTTGGGGAATTTAAAGGAATCTTGAGGGATCTGGAGGAGCCAGAGGAATCCTGAGGAGTTCGCGTGGATCCAATGGAATCTGGAGGAATCGAGACGTCCCCCTTCACATTCCCCTCCCCCTCCTCCTCCGTCCCCTTGCCCATGTTTGTTTGCGTGTTGTTGTCGTGTCCCGCCGTGGGTTCTGGGGGCAAGGGGTCCGTTGTTTTCTGTCCCGATTTTCAGGCCCTGTGAGACTGCAGAAGAGCGCCTCGCGACGCATAGCTGGCCCAAGGGGGGTGGAGTCGAGACCTGGGAAACTTAGGCGCCCGAAAGGGGTACGGAAGGGCACAGTGCTCAGCAACAGCTGTTGCCCCAAACCGACAGCAGCCGCGGTTGAGCAGGCGGCTTTCCGTGTTCAAAGAAC